CTCGGGCTCATACTCCACGTTGAGCACCGCCTTGATGACCCGCAGCTTCTCCTCGCTCGTCACCTGGGTGACGCCATGTTCCAAGCGCGGAAGGATGCGTTGCGGCACCAGCACACTGATGGCAAACCGCCACAGGGTAGCCAGACCCATACCCGCGAGGACGCCGGCAGCTGGCCGAACACAATCCGTTGCATATCCCTGCAGGGGCTGAGTGGCGCAGGCCGAGGCCGCGCGTACGCTGGCAGCAGCGGCCCCTTGCCCTGCGCCGTGCCGTGGCGCACCTTGCGGCCGTTGGCCTCCACCACGTGAAACTCGTCCACAAACCAGCCGCCATCGCTGCTGATGCGCGCCCGCTTCACGTTGAGCGCGAGCTCGGTCAGGCACTGCAGGGTTGGCAGCGGCGGCAGCGGCGCGGCTCGAGTCGGCAGTGGGGCAGGGGGGGCCTCCGGATTGGAGTCGGCGGCTGCCGCCCTGGCACCAGCAGCAGCTGTCCTGCCAACCCAGCAGTAGCAAGGCGACCATGCTGCAGTGTGCGTCCCCACGTGCACACACACACACACACACACACAAACACACAAACACACACACACACGCAACACATAAATACACACACACACCTGCACGACCTCCACAAGCGTGCCAGGCCGGTTGGCGCTGTCCACGGTGATGATGGTGCGGTCGTCGTACGTTTCGTTGTCGATCAACACCTGACCGCCGCCATTGGTACGTGCGCCAGGATGATGTTAAGCATGCAGAGGCAGGTTACATGCATAGGCCAGACCGCAGACAAGTCTTCCACCAGGTGGTTTGGCGGGGTGCTCACAACAGCAACAGCATTGCGCCTTCCGGCCTTGGTGGGCCGCCGGGCGCAATTGCGCAGTGCCACCTGCAGCGAAGCGCATGGCGCGCACGTCTGCAGACTTTTGCTCACATTTGGAGGGTGCACCCGTAGCTCCAGGGTAAGCACATCGAGCAACTCGCCATCGCTGGTCACACTGGATTGCTTGTAGTTCTGCGACTCCGCCTCCCTGTACTGCGCAAAGCTGAGAGTGCTCGGCGTTCGCTGCACGGACTCAAGTGTGCGCAGCAACAGCGCCATGGCGCCTCTCGCTGCGGGTCAAGAGGCTCTAGCTCAAGCAACACTGCCTGACCATGTGAGCTTGTTTGGATGGGTCCTTTTGTTATTTTGTATTTCCCAGAAAGGGTGAACACCTGATCGTGAGCCCGAGCACAAGGGCTTTTCCGCGTTGTGATCGCACACGCTGTGAGCAGAGACAGAGAATTTGAACAACGACATTCATGGCTCTGTCAGAAGCAGTCTTGCCTGGAGAGGTCAGGTTTTCTCGCTGGTGTGCAGTTGAGGATGCACACTTGTTACCGAAACACACTCCTTCGAATTGCATTGTGAATTGTATACATGGGCTGCTCCTAGACCTGCACACTCGAAATTTCACAAGCACACGGTACACGTGCTTGCGCCGACCCACCTCAACCGACTCCTGCAACCGATGAGGCAGGTCAACACGGCAGCTCCCATAGATAGGTGATGTGCGGAATGCAATTGCACTGGCAACGTATTTCACTGCTGCCACAAGCTGCAGCCAGGTCCATCACTGCCTGCACAGCACCTATGGATAGCACGGTGGGATTCAAGGACGCCCCCGCTGAGATTCGTACCAATGGAGGACACTGCACTTTGCCCAGCAAACGTTGCATGGCCTCGCCAGGCAGGGCAGACGGCAATGCCCAATACCAAAAAATACAAGGATTCAAGGACCAAGCCACTTTACAGGGCAGACGCAGCTTCGTTCCATTCTTCACAGCAGACACATTATCTGCAGGAGAAACACAGTCAACGGCATACAAACGATGTCACCCTCTCATAGTGACCGTGTCTGGGGCGAATGCAACCGCTTCCACACCCATGCAAAGTCACAGTGCCTCCACCACGCTCAAAATGTGCTGAAGTGCTGCCCAGCAACGCCCTCCGCTGACCAGCTAGCATCAGGCTTCGGATGCCGCGACCAGCTCTAGCGTCAGCCGCTGCATCTTCAACAGCATGTTGAGGAAGCCGTTGTTGCGGCTGGGAGTGAGGCTCTGCTTCAGGCCCAGCATCTCGATGAAGGATGGCTGCACTGTGAGGACTTCCTGGGAGGGCAAAAGGGGAGGCCGACAGCACGACCCAGGGGCAAGGCGGGGGAGATCGTGAGAGATAGAGAGACACAGGGAAAAAGCCTCACAGGGAAAAGCCTGAAGTCATCGTACATCGTGCTGCTGCCAAGCACACCCCCTGCACAACGACAAGCTGCTTGTTGAACGAACAGCAGCACATGGTGCCTCTGCTGGCCCCTTCCTCGCGCCTCACCTGTGGCGTGCAACCGCTGAGGCCCAGCACCAGCAGCGCCGCCAGGCCCTTGGTCAGCTGTGAGTCGCTGTCGGCGGTCCAGTACACGCGGCCGTCGTCCCGCAGCTCCGGCTTGACCCACACCTGAGCAGGACGAGCAAATCGAGCTTATCAAGCTTGCTCGCAGGACCCGGCACATGGATTGGCTACCGCGAAAGAGAACAGACTTGTGGGGGCAACAGCTGCCTTTCTCTGCCCTCATGCAAGGCGCATAGGAACCTGCCAGAAATTGTACCGCCACACCATGTGCGAATCACTGCAGCCAGTGTTGCGCGCAGCGACAAGCCTGCACAACCCCCCCTACGGTGCCTGGAAGCCCCAAGCCGCCTCCAAATCCCCATCGCACAGCGAGTGCGCCAATCGGGCCCCCACCTGCGAGACGCAGCCCTCGACCTTGTTCTCCGGCACATGGTCCTCGGCCGCCATCTTGGGCAGCTTGGCTGCGTAGAAGAGCAGCTGCTTGTATCGCGCCATGGGGTCCGGGACAATCTGGAACGCGCCAACAATCTTCTGGAGGCTGGCGGGGAGCTGCTGCTTCTGAGCTTGCTGCATGTCGGCGCGTGCACAGAGCTGCCGCCGCTGCTGGGGCTGCAAGCATGGGTGCAGTGCGGATGGAGGCCATCAGTGGGCGACGCTCACAAATTGCATGCAAGCAGCCCTGTAGAGCAGATTGTATGAGAGAGGGCGGTTGACTGCATGCCAAGTGCGGCGGCCTTGCACTGCACACCCGGAAGCAAGCGGATGCATGCATCGCCATTCGCACAAGCAGCAGACGCGGCGGCGCGCAAGCACATGCGCGCGACGCACCTGGACGTGCCGCTGCGGCCGCGCGTGCCTCAATTGGTTACTACTGATGCCTCGTAAAAGGTTGGTGCGGCTGTCCCTTCCATGCGCACTGCAGGCTGCCCGGCGGTGAAGCGAAGAGAACATTGCGGGCTGCTTCAGATGTGCTGAGCCGTATCTCAAGCTTGCATACAAGACTTATGTGTGATTGAACGGTTTTGCACGTGTAGGTACGTCAGATCGCGAATATTATGATGGGGACTTCTGTGGAGGCTCGAGTTATTGCATATAGTTGCTGCAGTCAAACATTTGAACAACTAAATTGCCCCACATTCGATTGTACTGCGGTCTGGTGCCTGGTGCGATCCAGTGTGTTTCATACCGTAGGTGAAAGGCAGGGCCCCTTGTGGGACAGACACGTAGCAATACTTCTTTCCTTACATCCTGCAGAGCGACACCCGCGGCGCGCAGTGCAGCGACGGTGCAGGGGCATCTCGCCAACAAGACAGCAGGACGCCCGCCAGCACTGGGCGGGGTGCCGCTCCAACCGCTCGATGCACAAGCAGCGATAAGCGCGACGGCAGTGCCAGGCCGCGCCATTCGTGCCCCGCGGCAGCATGATCATCGTGCGGATCCTCTACCGCCTGTACTTGGTCGGCGCCGCCCTCGGCTTTTGGGGCGCCGCAGACCCCGGCGCCGCGCCTGCGGGCTGGCAGCCGTGCGGCGGCGACGGCCGCTGCGGCGTTGCCCTGGTTCAGGGGAGGCGCTCCGGCCAAGAGGACCGCGCAATTGTCCTGGCGGGGCGGCTGCCGCCGCCGGCGGCCGCAGCGTCCACGGGCAGCGGCCCGGCGGGCGCGGCGGGCGGGGCGACGGACGCCCTGTTTGCTGGTGGGCGCTCCAAATGGACCCGGTCCCGTGTTTGTGCGCGCACACCTCGGCATGGCGTGTGCAGCGCGGCGGTCTGGCGGCGGCGAATGCTGTGAGGCTGTCAATGCAATTTTGCGTTCCGTGTCCAAATCAGTGGCCCTGCACTACCTCTTGCGGGGCCCCACGGCCCCCTGTGGCTGCGGCCTCAGCACACCTGCAGCCCGCCCCTGCACACACACACACACGCGCGCGTGCGCGCGCGCGCTTACACACACACATACACACCTGGACCCTCGATCCAGCATCCCACTCTAAAAACCAGCATTCAGGTAGGAGCGAAACATCGTCCTCCATTCCACCCCACCATCGACCCCTCTTCAAACCGTCCCCACAGCCGTGTACGACGGCCACGAGGGCCCCGCCGCATCAGACTATCTCTCGCGCCACCTCCACGCCCGCCTGCTGCCCCTGGCCGCGTCCCACTGGCGCCGCGACCCCTCCCTCGGCGCGCCCGCGCTGCGGCGCGCGCTCGCGGACGCCTGCTTGAAGCTCAACGCGGCGCTGACCGCGCGGCTCAACCGCAGCCGCGAGGACGCCGGGTCGACGGCGGTGTTTGCGCTGGTGGTGGGGCCGGGCGCCGGCGCCGGCGCCGGCGCGGGCGCGGGCGCAGGCGCGGGCGGGGCGGGGGCGCAAGTGCTGGTCGGCAACGTCGGCAACTCGCGGGCGTTCATCTGCGCGCGGCCGGCCGCGCCCGAGGGCGACGCGGACGCCGCGGGTGCAGCGGCGGCGGGTGAGGAGGAGGAGGCCGCGGCCGCCGTCCGCGGCGC